CCCGGGCCCCGCCCGGCGCGCTGACGTCACGACGGCGCCGCCCCTGCGGCGGTGCTGGGAAATGGAGTCCAGCCCCCGAACGCTGCGACTGGCTAGGGCCCGGGTGGCGAGAGGGGCGGAGAAAGGAAACGGGCCGGCCGCTTGGACCGCTGGGAAATGTAGTACTTAGTAGTCCGTGCGCGAGGCACACTGGGAAGTCCACTTCTCCCAAGCTGGAAGAGCTAGCCGCAGGTTGAGAGGGGATGCTCCGAGGCACGCTGGGAGATGGAGTCCGCGGCCACAAGACGGCAACTGGCAGCAGCTTACGGGGAGGAGAAGGGGGCGGGCTTGCCCCGTGGTGTGTGGGAAATGAGTCCGCGTCCCGGAGGCCGCCACGGGCAATGGCTTGGTGATTGGCGGGACGGAGCGGGGAGAAGGGGCATGCCCCAGGCACATCCGGGAAGTGTCCGATGACCGGAAGTCGCTATTGAAAACTGCCTGGACCAGCTATGCCCAAGGCACAAGAGCAAGTCTGGAACAAAATTATATCATTTGCATATTGTAGCTCGTCTTCCATATTCACTGCTTTTACGTCCAGTGCTTAAAACCGAGTCTCAGTGCGACTCTCCAGGACAGAGTAGACTCGCTCCCTTGGGTTTGTGAGACTGTAAATCTTTATAGGAACAGACAGCCCCATCTTTCTCCCCGAGGCTTCTGTAGTATTCAAGGCCATTGGGTTGATTCTGACTCATAGAGACCCTACAGGAAGACATCTAAAATGATTTTTGAGTGAAATAATGAATGGGTTTTGTATGTAATGGGAAAGCTAAGGGCATGATGGAAAATTGAGTCCACACCCAAAACCATTGGGAAAAAAACACCCTCATTGCCTTTTAGTTGATTCTGATTGATGACAGCCCTACAGGACAGCATAGAACTTCCCCTGTGAGTTTCCAAGACTATAACTCTTGGTAAGAGCTTGCAACTTCACCATCAACATATTCCCATCTTCTTTCTGAATCAACATTTTTTTCCTACACGTTCTGGTAAGTTCAGAGGGAATACATTAACTTTTCTGTGAGCATACAAATTTTTTTCTGGAGTCTGACGATGAAGCATCATTTTCAGAATGTCTGCGTGTGCCTTTAGGACAGCAGTACTTAAATTCTGATTACCACTTGGCACAGTAGTCCTAATTGTTGCTACTTTCAGTTTTTCAACCATGACTTCGACTTGCTTCCAGCAACTTGGCGGCATTTTTTTTCTCTGCTTTTAATATTTTCCGATTACTTCTATATGGATTTGCCATCTTTCATATCCTGGATATGAGACAGCATGGTGCCCCCACAGCCGCACTGCCACAATCTGCAAACACCACTTACAATCCAGACTGCATTTGTTTCCTGTGCCAACCTGGCCAATAGGAAGTGTAAGTGGAGATTAATCAGGTCACAGTTTGATTGGAGGCCAAGGAGATAAATGGGTCTGCAAGGCCTGCCCATCTCTCTTGCTCTCTGGTGATGGGACCAGCATGCTACTGCTTTAGCTAGTTCTCTGCCTCAACCTGTGTGCTACACTCCCTGTGGGCCAAGCCAACCCGTGGATTCTGTTGCTAGGGCTTGAGGCTCCTTCGAGACCTGCTTCAACCGTGGTGTTGGTGCATCCATCACTTGAACTTGCCTTGCGTTGCTTGAGTTTGATATTCCATTTGGGCCTCCTTAGCTCAGTTCCTGTGCTACTGACTGTTGCTGATCCACCCTGCTGTCTGCTGCCCATGGGAACACTCTGCCTGCTTTGCCTGAGGGAAGACTTCTAGGTCTGCTTCCTTCACCTTGGACCAAGCCCCCTCTGTGAGTTGAAGGACTATGGTGAGTTGAACTGAGCCCTGTGTGTGTGGACTAATTAG